AGAGAGAGAGAGAGAGAGAGAGAGAGAGAGAGAGAGAGAGAGAGAGAGAGAGAGAGAGAATACAGAGAGGGCGAAACTGTGGATTTCACTAGCCCTTGCCAGGCTTGGCTGAGACACTGACCACATTTTCCAAGTGAAGAGGCCTCCCCTCCCCTCCCCTCCCCTCTCCCAACCCTTCCTAGGTCTTCCTCTTGCCCCAAGCTTTCCAGCTCTCCAGGTCACAGAGGAGAGAGCTGCTCCTAGCCTTGGGCGGGACCAGGGGCCGACAGCTCTGCAGGGAAAATGACCCCCCCGGAATGGTGCTCCAGGGCTGGAGGTCTTGAAATCACTTCCTTGCCAAGTACCGAAAAGGAAAGGGACCTAACTTCATACCACACTCACAGCTACAGGGCGGGCCAAGGTCCGCGAGGCCACCTGTGGATTTCCCCCTGCAGTCACAGAAAAACTGTTGCAAGAAGGGAAGCATTGTTAACGTGCACTTCTGTCGGAGTATCAGCTGGGAGTGCCGAGAAGGAAGCAGACCCCGGAGCTAGCTGATCAGTGCACGAGAGGGGCCTTGATTACTCAGAGCCAAGTAACATAAGGCTCGAGGGTTTGGTTGTTAGCACAGGAGTTCATTGAAGAGGATAAAGGACCCAGATCTGAGTGCTGGAGAGTTACAGAGAGGGAGCCTGGCGTGACCTTGGGCAAGTCACGTCCCCCTTCCCGCGCTGCATTCCTCTTCTGCAGGCTTTGGGGTGTCTGCAACCTCCGACAGTTAAGCTCGAAAGCCTCCCTCCCCGGGGAGGCGGGGATGGAACGGGACCAGGGAGGGTGCCTCACCTTCTTGAAATCGGCGGTGAAGGAGATGAGAGTGCCGTCGGGTTTGCGCAGCTCGAGGCTGATGCTGTCGGCGTCGCTGTCCGCCTGCAGGCTTTCCTCGGTCACCTGGCCGTCGGGCAGCCTCACACGGACCCTCAGCTCCGCCGGCGCGCTGCTCCCCGCGTCCACGCCGCGCGGCGCCCCAAGCAGCAGCGGCGACAACAGCAGCAGCACCAGCCCCTGTGGGAGAAGGACGGACGGGGCACAGAGTGGCTCTGGCCAGTAGAAGCAACACGCTGGAATAGACTAAACACTGTCCTCCCCGGTCCCCAT